AAAAAACGAGTAATTTTAGGCTCTCGCCGAAGTAAAGGCATTTTGTTCGTTCTAATGTTAATATTCGTGATCAGCATCGTCGATTACATATGTCTGGACGCTTTTAATTGAAAATGAAAATAAAAAAGTTTTCAAAAACCCTGAGGGGGACCACAGGCCTCAAAAAGCTGACCGAGAGCTGTCGCGAAACTAAGTGTCAGGAAATGTTCCTACGCATGCCCTGACAACATTCCAGTGCAAAAAAGCTGAAAAATTTGGGGACGGGAAAACGGCCTTAATAGCCCACGTCCTTTATAAGGAAGAGAAAAAAAATTATGTCAAACTTGTTAAACACCTTCCTATCACGACAAGAATTCAAGAGGGAGAACATATGTCATCGCTAAAAACTTGAAAAAATTATGTTTAAAATTATGTTAACATCATCCCAAATGGAATGAAGTTGAAGAACTCTACAAAATTAAACAAAAATTGGAAACTTATATTAGGTGAAATATCTCATTTCTGCCTATTTTCACCCAAAAAACTTAGAAAATTCCTAATTCAGTCAAAATCGATGCAAACTACCTCAGAATATCAAGATGTACTCTATTTTATCTGGATTTCAATAGAACGTCTAAAAAAGCAACTGAGAATACCAAAAACTGCAGAAGTAAGAGAAGATTTTTTACTACTTTTAAGCATAGAATCCGATTGAACAGATAAAATAGGATACATCTTGATATTCTGAGGTAGTTTGCACCGATTTTGACTGAATTAGGAATTTTCTAATTTTCGGTGAACACAGACAGAAATGGGATATTTCACCTAATATAGGTTTTCACTAGGTTTCTGAGCTTTTTTCAAAAAGTAAACGTCACCAGGCGGCTCAGCGTAATCGATAGCTTATGTCTCCATTCATTTTCGAGATTCCTACACCTAAGAATATATTGATCATTGGGCTTCAAGAAAATCCGATGTTGCGCCTAAATCACGAAAGATTGGGAGATCGCTTAGTTCCCATTTTTGTAGAGAACACTTTGGAATATTTATCCATGAAAAGAAATCAAACTTTTCTATTTTAACTTTTGGATTTATTAAATAGTTTTTCCAAAACTTCCTCGAAAACCGATTTTTGAGATTTTTTCAAAATGTTTCTACTTATGGAAAGATACTCTCCGGTGTCTTGCTTTCGAATAATGAACACAACATAACTTCATCTCATTTCATTTTCCAGTTATTCGAAAAATAGTCACCGATCTTTTAAATTGAAATGGATAGTCGATACATGTAAAAATCGTGTATCCTTACTGCCCTGATAAATAAGATATAAATTCCAGGCAGTTGTCATATTTCAGAATATGCATTATATACTGGTACTAATAGTTCAACCGATTCCAGTGATCGGAATTCATTATCTAAACAGTAAATTCTGAACATAATATGACCTGTTATTCATTAAAAAAAATGAAGATTGTAAACCGCTAGAAACAGAAATTGTTATTTGTTGCTATTTTTTGCTATCTAAAGAAAAAAGACAATGGTTAGACAATGGTATAATTCTTCTGCAAGCTAGGACACTATTTTAAATGTACAAATGTCAAATCAATTCTTTTTTTGATACATCCTTACCACATAATCACAAAATAAGACTGATTCTCCTTGTCTTACGGAAAACTTCATATCGTAATAAAATCTATAATTTCTCTTGTTTTAATTCGAGTGTGAAAGAGCCAATAATTGTTAAAATAAAATAATTTATAGTAATGGCTGCTGTTATAAATCCAAAATATCTCTTGTTTTATGCTATTTAACTAGAAACGTTTGCCCTTCATCATACAAAGAACCTTCAAAATTTTATAGGCTTTCATCTCAATCATAAATACTACGTTCTCCTTTATAAGTTTATCACTTTTTTTTCAATCAAGTTTATAAGACTAATAAAACAACATAGTGATTCGTTTTTAACCACGATTTGTTACTATCAATGTTACATACATTTCAACTTTCCTAAAAGAGTTACAGTAAACGGGATTATTATGTAGAATATTCACTAATAAAAAAATGAATTACTCAATATACGTAAGTTAATAGGAAAAATAAGTAACTGCCTATATAACATTGATATTTCTTTTCTTTTGTGTTTCAGCATGACTTATCAATCAATCAAATATAGAAATCAAATTGAAAACATTCGTATTCAATATGTAAATGATATTCCATATTTATTTCTACAAGATGTTCGCTCTTATTTTCCTCCTGTAACAACTCTCAGACTAAATAATTCACAAATTCCATTTGCTGTCGATGATAATAGTGGTGATCTATTGTTACCGTTAAGAGTACGCGCATATCCAACTGATTTACTCACAGGATATGATTTCACCCACACAACATGTACGAATATTGATGAGATAGATGACGAAGATGATGATGATGATGATGATGATAATGTTAGCGATACTGATACAATACGTGATGAACTTGAAATATATTTAACTCAACTATACGATATAGCTAAAGTAACGATTGATAAATTAACAGGCATAGAACAAGTTAAGTATCAAACACTTATCGGATGTTTTGTGTTTTGTAAATGTCAAACTACGGAAATTGTCTAAGAAATTTCACATATAATACGTTTAACAAAAAAAAAATCTTTTTTTAATTTTAAGCTACGTTATCTACACATTTCAGATAAGACTGTACTTTCGCTTGGCCCCAAAAGAGATAATAAACTGAGTAAACCTAAAAGAGATAATAAATTTAATTAGTAATCAAGAACGAAAAAAGAATATAGAATGAAAAAACAAACAAAACTTATGGGTATATATTTTTATTCTTCATGAAATTAAATCAATCAGAATCAGTATCATTGTTTAATTTTTCATGTTCATGTAAAGAACAGTAAACTTTTCTTCGTGTCGAACGTTTATAACTTTCAATATCTTTTGTTATTTCATATTGTTGTTTAGCTGCAACAAGTTGTTCTTCATGAATTTTGCTATTTTTTTTTGAAGCAAAGCCTTGAAAAAGTTCTTGTTCACGATTATAACGTCCATCTTCCTCTTCTTTTTGTATATTTTTCATCCACATTCATATATTCGGATGTGTTGATAATTTCCTAAAGTGGAAACAATAGCAGCTGTTAGCATTTTCCTGCGTTTCGTAATATTCGAATGAAAACACTTACGAATCATGATCCTTCAACATGATTATTAGTACGTGGACGTACACCAATGGTATCATATAAATTCCAAAATTGGATATCAAATTTTCCAGAAATATATGTTGTTATTACATAATCAGTTAATTTTATGTATTTATCATCTGTATTACTTAATGTATCAATAATTAATTCCATTGAATTATTAAGTTCATTCGTAGGTAACAATGCCGATGACATTATATTAGCTATTTCTCGTCTAATTTCTTCTTTTTTACAATCTCGAACTAAACCTAACTTTTTTATTCTTTTCCAAATATTTTTGGTAAAATGAAAATAGCAACCCTTAACAATCCCATTCCAATGTGAATTTTGTTGCAGCATTTCTAGACTAGACAGTTGAATCGAAAACTGAATTGGGTGATGCGTTTATTAAAAGTTCTTCTAAATATTTAAAAAGAATGTTTCGGAAAGCTTTCGAAAAATACATCACGCGATTCAAATTTGCTTTAAAGTGCTTTTCTTCATATAGAAAAGATCAAACAATTGAATTTTTATTTTAATAAACTTTACGAAAACGAAAATCTTGAAATACAGCACAAGATTTCCCTTGCTGTGTAGTAGACATTATAACTTTTCCTCAATTCATTTTTTGTTAGAAAATGACATGCTTTGCTATTTACTGATTCCATGTTTATATAATTGTCGTTTGTACACTATTTCATTCGTTTTTGTACACTGTACTTAATGATTCTGATTGATTTGATTTCATGAAGAATAAAATATATACTTATAAGTTTCGTTTGTTTTTTCATTCTATATTCTTTTTTCATTCTTGATTACTAATTAAATTTATTATCTCTTTTGGCCTTTAGCCTGTACTTTGTTTATTTAAAAGCATTAACTGTCTCATCTTTTTTGTAGAAAAAAATAAAACTATTCTGCCGGTAATAAATCAAAATTTTCAAAAGCAGGTGGCATTGCTCTCTTCTTCAATTTTCACACTACTGCTTCTTTTCGAACTCAATAGTACAATTAATAATTCAAATATTGAAATAACATGATTGTTATGGCATTTGTGTAAACCGGGCACCTCGGTGCAAACATAACTTATCGTATAACTGTTTGGTTCGAATTGAATTTCTTGTTCGAGAGAGTGAAGATGGTCGGTTTTTTGATGAGATAAAACGATCCAACAGATGGTAAGATGAAACAGGCTAAACAAATAGAAACATACAAATCAAATTACATTTCTCCGCTTTACTATTTCGAACGGATGTCAACCTCAATGGGACAAAGATTTATTCAGACTGGCAAAAATTGTTGCGAACTTTTGTTTTCGACTTTTTTTTTCTCGATCAAGATAGCTGGAACAAATTCGAAAAAGGATTTGAGTAGCAGAAAGAATTCCTTATCGTAACAAAAAGTTCATTAAAATTACCAGTACACTGGAGTTTGAGGTGCATTCGTGTTCTGGTGTAGAGAAGATGCCCTGAAACATCAATCTACACCCCACACAACTGTTTTTCATTAACCTGCATTCAATGTACGAAATACAATGGCCAAAAATCGAAAGTGTGCTTTTTTCGGATTTAAACAGGAGAAAATATACTTTAAGCTATCCTCTATTTAATGGAATAAATTTTTTTATTCCAAATCTCTTGGTTCGTTGGAAAACTCATAGCGAAAAATTCCGTGAAAAACATTCGCCTGTGAAAAAAATTCGGTTTTCTATAAAATTCAAGAGACTTAAAGGCAAAAAAGAACCATATTTGAATCTAGACACCTTCACTTATTTTTTAGTGAAAACAGCTTTTCTTTTGGAACTATACTTCCAGTGGGAAAAAAACAATTTTCTAGTTAGGTGATTTGCAGATGTCATTAGTATAATAAATTTCCGCAAGTTTATGCAACTTTATATCTACTTAAAACTACACCAAAATGTTTCTCTTTGTATCCTGTATCTATGCTGCATGCAGGTTTTACAGTTCTTTTTCTAAGCCATAGGATGCGCTTTCTAAAAATACCTTGGTTTTTCAGGTAAAATTTTCTCGGTCTAGGAGCACGTGTATTAAAAAGTAAGATGATGATATTCGGAAACTACATCGAAGCATGTGTGAGACTATACATTTCTAAACAAAAAGTTGGTTCTGAAAAAATTTCGTCTGAAGTCCTTCTAACATCTAAATTCAAGAAAAAACACTTTTTGTCAGAAAAAGATTCTGAGTGGACCATTCGATTGAGCATGTTTGAAAACGTAGAAAAAGTTCATTGTAGAAATAGCCAAATATACTTGGTACTCATGTCCGACTGCTATGCAGAAATTGCCCACTGCGAAATGAGGCAGTATATAGAATGAGGAATCAAATGGATACGGAGTCTCCGTACCAGCCATTTGAGCAAAAAAGCGGAAAATATAAGTTTGCTATGTGTGATTCATCCAGAAAAATAAAAACTTACTGAAATGTTGCGGGATGACCGAGGAGTAGCCGATGACAAAGAAGAAGTGGACGATGTTTGATACCGCTGACTATTTTGTGAACTACTTCTTTTGATAGATTGTTGTCGAGAGACAGCAGAGCGCAACTCATCTAAAGTTTCTGATAGAGTTGATGGTCGATGTCTTTGTTGATTTAAGGGAAGTATTGATGGTGTCTTGATAACGGATGAGCACTGCTGCTGTAAAGATGATAGATGAAATCTCGATTTTTCAGAATATGCACTTGATTTCAACAGCTGATCTTGTTGATTGATATTTTGTTTGGTCGAAACATTTTTTATTTTATTCACAGCACTTTGAGAATAAACATGATGTAGTTCATCCGAAGTTGTGTTTGATAAACGTTGTGACAGTTTTACATTTAGTTCAGGCTGCCTGTGACGCAAAGGAGATAGATAAGGATTTTTATGTGGAGCATATCCTTGGAATGACTGGAAAATCGGCTGTGGCGTTGGAAAATAATTTGGATAACCGTGATGATGGTGGGCGTGTAATTTTGAATCTACGTATCTGTCAATCAGTTTTCGAATGCTTCGAATTTCACTAAATAAATAATCTGACATACTATTGGTAGATGCGTAATTAACCTTTGTTATGGATTCATCAGAAGAAGTGTCGAAGGATGATTGTGAAACTGATTTCGAATATGTTCGTTGGTAATGATGTTTATGCTGATGCTTACAGATGGTCGAATTACTCATCGTTGATCGACCAGAGGATGATCTAAAAAAAATAAAATGTTTTCTTATAGTACTAATATTTCAAAAAGTTGATTTTAACAGTGAATTAGCTTACCTATGTCTCAATTTCGTGTGCCACGTCTTGTGTGATGTACAATAGTCTTGCATTGCTGCAGCAATATATGGATCAGTATTGATTAAACGTGCAAGCTGAATCTGATCATCTCCTTCATTCAAATCATGAATATGTGAAACATGTTTATGAGTGTCGTATCCTCCTCGTCCATGATGGTGCATAGCGTGATGTTGATCGTGCAAAGTATGCTGTTGATTGTCCATAGCGTAATGTTGATCGTGCAAAGCATGCTGTTGATTGTGCGCAGCGTGATGTTGATCGTGCAAAGCATGCTGTTGATTGTGCGCAGCGTGATGTTGATCGTGCAAAGCATGCTGTTGATTGTCCATAGCGTAATGTTGATCGTGCAAAGCATGCTGTTGATTGTGCATATCCATCAGGTGTTGATTAAATAATTGTTGTTGCTGTAAGATTTGACTCATTTCAACATCGCTCATGTGATATGGCATAACGCTTTGCAATTGAGTTTGTTGTAAATGAGATGGTTTAAGAAGCGTGTCAGAAATTTTACTCAATTGATATTTTCTAACGGATCTCTGCGCTTGCTGACTACCCCCATGAGGTGATTTATGAGACCGGTATTCGGTCCCTTGTTTTAGTCTTGATTTGATTCCTCTAGCTTGAGCTCGTCTTTCTAATTCTTTCCGTGTTTCTTGAAGCGATGGTAGGCCGTCTCCATTGGATTTCAATGTACTACGAATACTTAGTGCATTGGTAATGATATTTTTTCTTTGTGGTTTTATTGCTCCATCCATTTGATTCAGTGTATGATCCAATTTTCGTTCGTCTTTTTCTTGGTCGTGTCGCTGGTATGGCTAGTGAGGGAACAATTTGATGTTCCTTAAGAAGTATTTGATTTGCATAACTAACTCAGTTACGATAAGTGTACGAAGCTTCATCTCTATCTGAGAATTTATAATTACAATAATCGTCGGTATACATTTAAATTCATGTTTACATATGAAAATAGAAGGTGTATAGTTAAAGTTATCGTATATAGGCAAAAGACAGATGTGTCCATGACACGACTATTGAGCATCTAACAACTTTCTTTTTTCGAAGGTCAGTTTTTACCTGAAGGAGAATCTATACAAAGATATAGAAGCGACGGTCGGGTGTATATACGTTGAAGTTAATAGAGTAACACGTTTGTAGATGTACAATGCAATGATTAGAATTTCTTTCTACGCTAATATCATAGAAAATTATACTAAATTTACAAAAACGAAAAAAATACGCAGTTTTATCTAGCATAGTATATTTTCATATCTCTGAGACTACTCGGATACGTTAGAATCATTCGTGTTCATCAAAACGCAAAGTAAACGTTAATAGAGCTTATCATCAACTCTTCTATGTGAAACAATTTTAATTAAATGATTATCTCATACTTTTACGTATTTAGATATGATGTGTAGCATACAGTTTAGATATTAAGTTCACATTGAAACAGCAATTACTAGAACAAACAGAACTTATTATTTTAGAAAAATAGTTTTGTATCGATAACTCACGTAAATCCTTGTTGAAACAATCACAGAACATTAACATCACAGAACGTTAAGTTTTTTTCTTAATTCAATATTACCAATGATGAACAAGTCGATATGGATGTAAGCGTAATATTGAATGTATGTGCTGTAGAATATCCCTTTGCAATGATACTTGTCTCATTATTAATGTTTATAAACTGAAAAAATCATCGTGTACATATTTTTCCTTGAGTGAGGGTAGTTCAAGTCCAATGTATTTTGCAGTGCATGGACGTTAGAGAGTAGGACACCTATAAAAGCATTACACCAAAATGGAAAATTTTCTGCTCTGACGATCAATCTGATTTTCATTTTCTTCAGACGTTTGCTTCTGTTTACAAAGATCAAAAATTGATTTTAAAATTCTATAAAAAAGTTAGTTTTTCTTATATAAAAAGATACCGAATTCAATTTTCGAGAAAACTGCATAGGAAAAAACATTGTTTTCATGATGAAAAAATAGAGTATCATCAAAGCGAGGTCCAAAGTTAATGGATATGAGCGAAATCTTAATTCTTAATCTAATTTTATTTTTAAACTATCACTTCCACTAAAACGTTAATCTACAAATTTTTAAGTATATTAAAAGATGCTGAATTTTACAACGAATTTTTTATATATCAAAGTTTAAAACTGGCTTCATTTTAGAATAGATTTATCTTTTAATTTTTCTTTTGACAGCTTAGTAAGACAATTTAGAGCAATTTCACTTTTCTTGTATTCTACAACAACAAAAAAAAACCTGTTTCTAAAACTGAATTCGCCATTTTTTCATATAGAGAATTTACTTTTGAATCGAATGAGTTTAAGCGCAAATTTTTAATTTGATGGATAATATTGGAAAAAATAGTTGACAAAGGTACGTCATTCAATCTTATCCATCCGTTATTATCAACAGCAATAAGAAAAGAAGATACTTTATTTGATTGTATGTGTCTTCGTAATGTTAATCTGTGTATGTCGAAATGTTTCATCATCTGTAGATGTTACAGTTATCACAAATTGTGATTCACAATGCTATCATAACGGACGTTTTTGGAGTTACCTCCACTTCAAAAATAGAGACCTATTTCTGGCCGATATGACCGTTTCTAGGATAAATGTTGATCAAGATTCATATAGTGAATTAATTAATAGAACAAAAAGCGAAATATGTATTTAATAAACTACATCTACAAGCAGTAATTGTGGGGGAAAACGACAACGTGATATAGATGTTAGAAAAGGATCGAAAACAGACAAACAGATTCCACTGTCGAATAAGATCGAAATGAAAAGATCTCTTTTCGATTATAGACACAGTTAGACTAAATAGTGGAATGAGCAGAAAACTTCACATATCGCTGTTGTAAGCGATTTATCAAATGGAAAGAAAAGAAAGAAGTTTATTACATTCGTTAAAATAATTCGAACCAAAATGCTCATGATTAATAATGATATTTTATAATGTAACTGCGAGTCAACAAAATTATTTAGTGTAAAAAGTAAATTTTCCATTATAGTCATCATATGCTTAGTTTGGTTGAGAAACTCATTTAGTTGTCAATCGTTTTAATAAATGTACAACTTCTACTCTATTTATTTTGAAGTACTCAAGTTTTATAAGATAAATATTTATCAGATATATAATATCATAGGAAAGTGCTGGTTTCGATAATTAATGACTCTTAATATGGCACTCTTAATCTCAAATTATTTATAAATTTAATTTTTATTTGATGAACTCATTACAATTTGACAAAAAAATAAAATCAATAATGAATAAAAGAGATCAAGAAGGCTACGTTTTTTTGCTTTTTTTTCCTAAAAATCGCTTATCTTCACAATATTTTCCCATATATTTTTTCTCGCACATACATTTACTTGTTGCTGCTATACACGTTCCATTGTTCATACAAGGATTTTCTGTACAAAAATTACTTCTCAACTCACACCTTGGTCCTCCGAAGCCCTCCTGACATTGACAAATTCTCGTTTCTGGATCACACGTTCCTCCATGTTCACATTCGTGTAAAAGACAATAGAGTTCTCCAGTAACATTGACACATGTTTCAGCTAAACACACTTGATATTGAGCACATGGCTGATTACCACACGTTATTGTTTCTTCACAAAACGCACCACCAAATCCATCGTCACATCTACAAATACCATCTCCCGATGTTGGACTTTCGAGACAAGTTCCATTATTTTGACATGGATTCGATGAACAAAAGGAACGATTCAAATTTTCTGTACAATTCTCACCAGAATAACCGTATGTACAAATACATTTATAATGATTCAGTGACGTGGTTTCATGAACGCATATTCCTTCATTTTTACATGGATTCGGTGCACATGGATGTAGAGGTGCGTCACAGTAGGAACCTGTCACATCTTTTGGACAGATACATCGTCCATATTTGTTATCAATTACAGCACATCGTCCTTCATTCTGACATTTTTTTCGACATGCACCGGGTGTAATGTATTCACAATATGGACCGGCATGATCTGATGAACATAAACAAAATCCGTCACCCGTATGATTAATCACTATACATGTACTTCCATTACGGCCTGAAATAGATAAAAATAGCGTCAGGAGAACTGTTGGTGTACAGCATTGTATCAAATATTTTCAATTTAAGTAAGGATAAATGATAGACTTACATGGATTTGACGAACAAAATGTTTTTAAAGAGCGTTCGCAAACAGTTCCAGAGTAACCAGGTGAACACAAACATTGACCATCAACGCCAGACGGAATACACGTACCTAAAAACAAAATAGCCGATGATAACTTTCAATTCTTATATCGCACGATGGAAGGTGTATAGAGATGAAAACATAAAACCAACAAAGTTCAGCCAGAGGCAGCCTCACAAATACACTTTTTTATTTATATAAAAAAATCAGTTTTTCACTAGATATGTTATCTAGATTATGCATGCATTTACCTATCATAAACTTACCATTATTTCTACAAGGATTATCTTGACAAAATGGTATTCGTTTCTCACAATAAGCTCCAACATATCCAGGTTCGCATAAACAAATACCATTTGGTGCTGAGATTAATATACATGTTCCATTATGTTGACATGGACTATGAGAACAAAATGTTACATTGTGTAAATCGTGTTCACATAACGAACCCGTAAACAACGGGGGACATTGACAACGATACGATAAGCCATTTGAAGAAGCTAGAAGACGTTTAAAATGTTAATATTAAAGCAAACTAAAAGAAACTTTTTGTAATGTTATTTCTTCAGTTTGTTACCCAAAATGTATTCAATTAAGAGCTAAAAGTATTATAATTCAAACATACTATTTTGACAACTTCCACCATTTAAACAGTTACATTCACCCACATTCTTTCTACAATGTTTTCCACTATAAGATGGTGGACAAAGGCAAGTATAAGATTGTTCTGCATTATTTGTACATAGAGCTTGATGATAGCACGGATTACTGTCACAAGGTTTTTGTTCATAGTTTAATTTTTCACATAAATGACCGTGAACGTACTATAATATAAGATAATAGAAATATTGCTCTCTTTCCAGGTACTACAAAAAAATCATCAAAAAAACATACCTGAACACAATGACAAGTATAATTGACTTTTGATATTAATTCACATTTACCTGCCCGACATGGATTTGGTTCACAAGGATTTGACCAATGTTGACTATGTACATCTGAAAAGAAAGATATTTTGCTGTGTTACAAAAGAAGATTACATATTTACAGCAGTTACTTTGCAAATATTGTGAACTAATTGTGGATTTGAGAAGAGTTGAGATTATAAAACATGTACAGGGGAATCCAATGATTGTGAACAGATATGTACTACAATAAAGTACTAATTTTCAGACAAAATATAATGTTTTATCTCTTTACACAGAGTCATTCTAACTACAGTCAACATTGTGGGATTCTAACTCTTGATACTTATCCTAATATAGTTTGAATTCTATTAGATTCTGTTATTCCTAGTTAGAATATTTTGCGAAATTTTATGTCAGCATTATATGGATATTTTCCTCGATGTCATACTCATAGTCATTGACTGATAGTTGATTTGAAGAACATTATTTTGTGAGTATCAGAAACGAGTAACATCAATTAAAACGATCCCATTTTAGAATAATTAATTTGTAGGATCCATTTTCGCATTTATTCTTTATAGATAAAGTAACTCATATTCACTTGATATCTATTTTATCTTACCTCATTTGATAACGTTTTGTGAAAACTCTTGATTAAAAAATTGACTTCAATCACATAAATAATCACTAATTTTATGTACAAGTTAAAATTATTTCAGTGGTTACTATCTGTATGCTCAATTTCACCTGATTATATTTTTTTCTTCGCGTGTTGAACATCAAAAAGATAATCATTGTTAAATGTTGTGATACTATATGTAAATAGCTCGTTTTCTGCGTTCAATATGACTGATCACAGGTGGATGGTAGAATTTTCTCTTCCTTAATTAGTCTATGCATATTGTCTACCTCACAATGTATATGACAAACGTCATTCTTACATCTTTTGTCTAATTCTTTAAACAATCCAATTACTATGTGTTGTTTATCAGTCTACACTAATTAATGTACAAAATAAACAAGAATAAAATCTAATCTCACAAGAGAACAAATAAAAAAAAGAAAATTGATATCATCTCGATCAAAAAACAAAAAAAAAAGTCTCGACCAATTGTTTGTGTTTGTCTGTGCACTCTTAATTTAGTTTGATCCATTTATTTCTCCTCTATTCTTAAATCACCTTCGTTTAAACAAGGTTAAATATTATAAAAATTTACGGTAAACCTACACCATTTGGAACTGATTACTTTTCTTTCTCTTTGTTCAATAAATAGTATCTATTCATTAACCATATGATACAATAGATTTGAAAAAAAATTTTGTTTTTAGTCTGTATTCAAGTCATGAGAATTAGTAGCTAATAGAGCTAAACAAACCATATCTTAATAGTTCGTTGAAGCTCATATTATTTTTTGTATTGCTAATCTAGATATATTCCACTAATTCTGTTATATTGTAGAACAGAAAAATAAAGCCTTGTTCAAATTTTCTTATCAGTATTTCTCTTAAAATTTCATTGATCTTGGAATTTCACCATCGAATAAGAATGCAGTTCACAGAATACTACAGGAATTAAAATGATTTTAAAGATTTTTTCTATTTCAATATAAAAACTTCTCATCTTTCATATTTGTAGATGTACTTCATTCAGTCAATCGTTTTCAGCTATTTTTTATCGTAAAGATTTGGAAAAACGATAAATTTGATCGTTTCACAGTTGTAGATGAAATATTCGTTATTCTTTTCAAAATTCCCATATTAAGTATTATTTAATCAGTCTCAAAAGTCGAGTCATTTGTTCAAAGAACACTGTTCTTATCAAATTAGGGTAAATTTAAATCTTTATTTTAATTATGACGGACAAACTTTAAATTTGGCACAAGTTAATATTACATTCAAATTTTATTTCGGAGAAAGTTACGTTTTTATTGTATAGCAAAAAAATATTCTTTAAATAACTCATATAATATATCGATATTAGAAAAAACGCGAAAACTACAGCTAAAATTAATTATTAAATAAATTTTTTAAAGGAAGAATAAGAATTAGATCTACAAAATACTACTTGATATGAGAGTGCCGATTATTATTTAACACTTGTTTCATCTAATTTCTTAGCAGCTCTATCTGTATCTTTTTTCGTTATCCGTGTGGCTGTTTTAGTAGTCGTATCTCCTTCCAGCATGGAGCCAGTTTCTTGTAGTCTGACATGCCATGACAGAGCTGTCTTCAAATCATGTGGTGTATGTTGGGCAAATGACACTTTTTGAGCGTGATTAAAATAGTCTAATAGTTGTGAACGATATTTCGGATGTGCACATTTTTCAATAATTAATTTTGCACGTTGTTTGGGCGTTTTAGCTCTTAAATCAGCCAGACCATGTTCACTGACCATTACTTGAACGCTGTGTTCATTATGATCAACATGAGATACCTAAAAATCAAGAATTTAGTCAATTTGAAATACGATTTTTGAAAGCGGACATAATACAGGGTGATCCATAAAAAAAACTTACCCCTTTTTCTAATGGTCGTTCTATAGCCTTAGAATTCAATTTTTGATCCGATTCTTTTTGCGATAGAAAGAGCTGAAAAAAAGCTGCTCACTGTAGAACGGGTTATATTTTTGGAAAAATTTCACCATAAGTAGATGCTAAAAAAGATTTATTAAATATAAAATCTGTGCTGAAACAAAATGAACTTTGCTGTTGTTGAACTTTTCTATAAAAATTCAATAACCCAACGACGAAACACTATTTTGACTCTAAATTTTCGGAATGTCCTTATAAATGTTTACAGCTTAAGTAACATATAAATCATTTGGTATTATTGATTCTATTATAGAAATGTTCATACAACAACAGTATTTCATATTTTGCATAAAGAGATATGCGGTATGAATTTCACTATTTTACCATTTGAATTAGCTTTAATCATGATCGATTATATTTAGTAGATAGAGCGTTTAAATGGCTACAAAAATATGCCTAAATGATTGATAAAATTTGCTTTCTTAATAAGTATAATGAAGAGGTATATAACACCAATTAGTACTAAGCTTAGAAGATTGTGTGAAAAAAAAAATCTTTAAAAAATAACCAAGAAATTATGCGGAATGCTTTTCTTCATTAACAAAATATTAGAAACTCGAAAACCACAACAAACTTCAAGTCAACAACGATTGTCTTACAGCTCTTTTTTTTACTTCCTGATGAAAATGTGCCGTTCCAGCATAGATTTCATATTTAATAAATCTTTTTTAGCATCTGCTTATGGTGAAATCGTTTCAAAAATATAACCAGTTCTACTGAGCAGCTTTTTTTCAGCTCTTTCCATCACAAAAAGAATCGGATCAAAAATTGAATTCTAAGACTATAGAAAAACCATTACAAAAAGGGGTAAGTTTTTTATGGATCACGCTGTACGTTGCGATTCTAATCGTTCTACATACCATTGGTACGAAGGCCGATATCGTTTCACCTTTGGCTGTTGATGGTGCCATGAAGACAGATATATACTAAACAAAAAAGTATAGAATTTCAGTTACAGATATAAATCGGCTTTTCTTAGTGTCATACTGCATTTCTTGTAAAATCCCCACTGCCTCCAATTCCGTTCATCATACTTGATCCGAGAACATGCGTCGAGTTTACATTACCATAAATATCACATTCTAAAGCTGTATTCATTGTTATTAATGCCATTCGACGTACGACTTCTGGATGATTCGATATTTCCATCGGGCGTAACACAAATTTTTGTTTCAATTCATTTATTTCATTAAAAAATCTTATTTGACCTTGCGGTGAAAATGTCAAGGCTGTAGTTGAAGCAAATTTGAGTTTGTCAGCATCTAGTAGAGCAAATATTGAATCTTGTATCACTTCAGTATACATTTCAATCTGTTCGAAACGCTTATCAGCAGCTAAAAAGTGGAGAAAAATACATTGCATTAGTCAGTCACAGTACAACTTTTCATGCTGTAGCAAAGTGCAACAAAACATTTTTAGTAAATATTAAATATGACTTCACAACGTCGACGCATTGAAGATATGAACAGGAGACTTCATTTATTAATAAACTGTCGACGACTACAATGAAAGTGTATCTTTATAGCGATTAATGTCTCACCTATACAAGATAAAACAGCATTAGCCACATTTCCCACGCCAGATTGAAATGGTAGTAATTCTTTTGGAATACCTTCAAAATAGAACATAAAATACGCAATAGATTTAACTAGTGGAGGAATTATGTCCCAAATGTTAGTCAGAACTCGACTACCTACGTCCGTGATCAACTTCATTTAGAATAAATTCTAGAATATTATTGGCTATTTTAAAACTGATATCATCCGGTTTTTTAAATCCTAGAAAACAGAATATCTTTCAATATTACTTACATTAAAAGTAATTCATCTTTTTGTTTACCTTTAGCCGAATCGAATACGTTTGTTCGTACAATACCTTTAATACGTTTCGGATCCACCTGGAAGTACGGTGTTCCTAGTAAAATTATCAAATAAGATGTCAGCAATGCGCATAAAGTAAAGACTTATGATGTATAAGTTCAATTTTAAAATTTGTTTTTGTGGCTGAAAAGTTGAATGTTCCACCATTATAAGGAATGTATTTTTTCCTTTATTTACGAATAAAGTATCATACACACCAATTCGATCGTCAACGTGGTCAATATTAATCGGTCTTCCATGGAGGCTATCTGGTAGAAACATATCATGAAGTCCTTTCATTTCCATCGGGTGTGCTTCATTCAGTTCAATATAAATATCTTTTGCTAAAGCCAAATATGTTCCACTCATCCCGCTTGAATTTGTTAAATAGATTCTACCATCTGATGTTACATCACATGCTTCAACTATGGCCACGTCAATAGGCGGAAATATACCCTCACGGATATAACGTCCAACATGAGACAAATGCATATCGATATAATTCAAATTACCTAAAATGGAATAATCTTTTCAAATTCTGAGTATTAATTTATTATATATTTACCATTGTTAATTAATTTTCTAATATCTATATGCGATTGATAGGGTATTCTTAATTTTAATGTGCCTGTTCTTGCTAAAACACCATCTAGTTCGTCACCCACACTTGCACCGGTAAAAAGATTTATAGAAAATTCATTATTATCTCCCGAACGTTTTTTTGCTTCCATAATACGTTTAGCGTAAGCAGGTACAATCATTTTTGGATAACCGGCTGGTGTAAATCCTGATGTACCTAATGTTAAATGTTTTGGTAATTTATATGCAACATCCTCCGCTGTCATTAATTTTGATTGAATAAATGAACTAATACGATGACTATTCTTGCAAGCAGCATCTGTTGATGTTGTAGATTGAAAACGAAATCGTTGATAAATGAGATTCGTAGGATGACTTTGTAAAACACGTTTCATTTGTCTTGATTTTTTTATATCCAAGTTGTAGAGAATAATGAAACGAATATAAATGAAAAACAATATTGTGCCATATCTAGAAGAAAAACCAAGAATTATAGCAGAAATAATGATTAACCGAGTGTTTTCCTCGAATCATGCAATATATACGCTGACTATATCCTCCATGTTTTCTCTCCATTGCGAAATAATTTCAATTTGTATAGGAAATAATGACGTACAAAAAATTGTTCATGTTGATTTTCCGATCTGGCAAACGTATCTTTGAGATGATTATCAAGAATTTTCTGAGAGAAAATCATTTTTTCACTTGAAAAAGAATATTGTTGCTGTTGCATGCATATCAGAATAACTTGAAAGAAATGTCCGAAATGACAAAGGAAAAGATGTCCGAAAGTACCAATTAATTTATGCAAATGTATTATGAAGATGCTAGAGAACTGAACGTAGCATTTTATTTTATCGTTTCATCTTTTTCACAATGTTTATCTTTCTTCATATATTATTTAGACGTCCATCCTACAATTTGCTCAATCGAATTCACTTCTTTTACACGAATGTAAAAGAAAAATTTTTGGAATTAGTTTAACCTATGTAAAATAAATTATTTACGTACTTCCAACCAAACTTAAGCTAGGAAAATGCTCTTTATATTCATTTTTTCGTCTCCACTTAAACCATCGTAAATGTGATTTGTGTTCTATTTATCATCTATTCTTCTCCTTCTGTGTTTCGTTTCACTAAAATCCCAAAAAAATTCAAAAAAAATATTTCTGACCAATGCATAATAAAAAAAGAAACTCAGAAAATGTTGATTCCATCACAGCCATTTTTTTGAAAAAGCAAATTATCGATTTAAAATACTTTAGTTGTGCAGAAACAAATGTGCGAGTGATAAACTTGAATTATTCTAATATTTATACTATTTACTATTTGTCATAAAAATGATACAATGTTGGTACAATTTTTTTAATTTATTATATTATATATTTCAATCAGTCTTGTTCTAAGAGCGCATTTTGTGCTTCCATGTAAAATGTTCAATACATGTTTCTGAATATGCGCAGAAAGATAATCATTTTAACTTAAAATATTAATTCTCTTGGATTCCATAGATCTACATGGTACATTGAATTGTAATATTATGTACTATCAAAATTTATCATTCTTTTATCCTTCAGTTAGGGTAAAAATAACGAATAATTTCACAAAAAATTAACAAAAATTTTTTTATTATCAAATAACACTAAAACATATTAATATAAGAATCTTCACGGAATATTAGAATTTGATGTAAGCAATTTATGTTTCTGTCGCTGTTTATTTCGTTTCTGTTTTGCTTTGAGTCGAATTACTTCATCTAAAGATTTATCAACATGATAACCTTCATAACCGGCTACGTTAGGTAGATTTGAGCCAGGAAATAGTGACGAAAAATCTAAACTGTTTATGAATGTTGGCAAAATCATTGTTAATTGTGGTTTATCCTCAACGGAAGTGGAAAGTTCAATGTTTGCTTGTTCACTATCTAGTGATTCTAAAAGTAAAATAATCACTGGTTAAATCATAGAGAGAGAGAGATAAGTGAAAAAAATGAGACTTTAGCTGCTTAATCTCGTTCTCTTTCAATAGTAGCGATATATCCTGGAAATAGTATACAAGTAAGTCATCCTCTTTGAATATGTAACCGCTTGCAAGTAGTGAATCCATGATTTATGATTTTGGAGTCATGAAACATTTTCAAAGTTCTTCTGTCATATAAAAAAAGATTTTTTTCTTAATTTTGAATACCTCCGACAGTACGCACCCTTCGTACCCAAATCATTCACTGCTGCTTGAAATGATATTGGCTCCTCAACTGTTCATTTGTACTGTAAACAGACAAATTATCATCACTTATCTCTTGCTTCTAATACTTCCAATTCATACTGATTTCAATGAAATATATTCGATAAATTCAAACCTGAATGATGTCTTTTTTTCTTCTTTTTCTTTTTTTCTGCTTTAATTTCATCTTCAATTTCTAACTGTACTTGTTGTTGCTCACGGTCTTCTTCTTTTAACTCTGTTAGTATTGCATCTTCAGTTAAATGCTCAATTTTATGTTTTTTCTTCTTTTTTGATATTGGTTGTTCGGTTGTAATATAATTAGTTTCTTGTTTTGTTTCAACAAGTTCAGTTTCTTGTTCAACTTGTTCATCCACATGATTTTTCTTGTGTTTTTTTCGCTTATGTTTTATTTCTGATTCATCATCGTTAAACATTTTTAGTTCATCTTCATCCTCATTCCGGTTTACGTCTAATAGTTTCTCTTGTTCTTGCACTTTCTGTTGTCTTGCTAGAAGTAATTGTTTTGCTTTTTGTTTAAAATAATCTTGAACACTTTGTTTGCTTGTCACATACTGAACATCAATACTCTCAACAATAATCTAATCATAAACATAAGAATCAGTATGATTCATTTAAAATAAAGATAAAACTCTGAGGATAAACAACGAACTGTAACATACATTTTTGTTTTCTTCATCTAATTCTTTTTTTTCTATTATATTATTAGCAACCGCTCTTTCATCCTCTTGTTTAATTTGTTTTATTTTATTCCAACCAAACACACAATCGAGATCCGATGAACTGCGCATACTCAAATCTTTACCATGAGATTGCTTCTTATAACTAAAACAAAAAACAAAAAAAGAGTTGTATCTTGTGAATAATAAATCTATGGCTATGACTGTTCACCAACCTGAATCTCCTTTTTGTTGCATCTAATTTTTTAACTAAGTTCGTCGTCTGTTCTGTTGAAGATGTATTTAGATTTATGGTTGGGGAATGTTCTTGCTTTAATTGTTCAAGAATATTATTGAAACCATCTTGATGATGCACCCATGTATCATCGTATTTATTTCTCACATAACCCACGCCTTTTACATTGTCTTTAAATGCTAATGATATGTGTTCAACCCGGCCATTTTCTTCTTTACCCAAGCCAACGCCTTGTTTCCAGCCCATTTTTTCTAACATACGCTGACCAAATTTAGACGAGTCTGAAATAAATAATAGCAAGATAAGAACGACAAACAGGTGGGTCTATATATAACTATTCTACTCACCATCTGTCCATTCTGTTTTTTGAACGATACTATAACGAACTTTTATCCGTTTCTCGGATAAACTACCCATTTTGACAATCAAACGACGAGGAAAATGCTAAATATCTAAAATAAATTATTTTGCACGTTAAGTTAGTTGAAATTAGTGATACTACATATACAAGAGTACTAACGTATTCTTTATCAGAAACAAGCAAAGCTGGAAAAAGAGTTTATACAAAATATAAGCGAACGGTCACTGCTTATCTCATTGAAATATTGAGTTGTTTACTAGTAGCTCCTAGTGGTTACAAAGAAAACAACGGAAATATGGCTCAGTTTCAGACACAAGATATCAGCCTGTATTAATGTTTTATTGACAATACTCAATATGACCATGAGTAATCTCATTTTCAAAAAGTCCGACTCCAACCAAAATATACTCCATAATTTTCTATATAAAATACTAATGCTGACTCAGTGTAATAATTTGTATATCTTTCTCTTTTATTCCCTTAACTCCATGTGTATATTCGTCTTTTGATTGTTTGTAACTTTAGCCTATAGCGGTTAACAGAATTAAGATAATCTACAATGAAAATGGGGCGCTACGATCTATCTGAAGATCGTTGATGGTAGTGTTACGTCTCGCTTTTTGTGAAAAATTCACGAGAATTTGTGTCCAACTGTGTGGTGTGATAATTACTCTAAACTTTTTTTCGTTTCCTTCGAAAAGATTCTTTCTGGAATCTGATTAGACATTTGCGCGTACAAGATTTTTCGATCCACGCTTGTTGTGTAGGTCTGCCTTGGTGTTTGTCTGTGTCTGTGGAAAAAAAATTTTTTTTTCCTCCACGCCTCCCTGTTACATTGTCCTCTTTTGTATGTCATTTACAAACAATATCTTTTTCGCTACGCAAAAAGGTTTTCAAAAAGCCGTGCCCGTCGAAAGAGCGATTCCCCGTTCATGTTTTTTTGGAGTAAATTTAAGTAATGAGGACAGTATTTAAGGACTTTTCCAATACGCCTAGTCAATGCAAAACAAAAGAGTGATGGACTCGTCGAAGTACTTGCTTGAAGCGAATCAACCGACGATACTTGGCGAGTAGAAGAACTAAAGACACTTGTCAAGTTCTTGTTCAAGTGTTCGGGAAGTGAGAAAACTTGTCAAGTGCTTCCTAAGTACTTGGCAAGTAATTCGGTGCTTGGATCAAGTATATTTCACTAGAAAGTATCAACAAAGAGTGTAAAGTTAACTGAGTGGAACGGTAATCCGAAACAACATAATAGCTTTAGAGATCGATCAACTTACTTCTTATCCCTACACTCCCTAAACCATTCATATAATAGACTGGATGTGTCTGCATATCAGAGCTCCTGCCGATCCACCCCACTCGATGATCCGGCCTGGGACCGACCCGCCTCGGACCAGGCCGGGCCGAGCCAGCCGCTTTTTTTCTCCACATAGTCAAGATTAGCAGAAAGAATTCAAGAATTAGCATCAAGAGGTTTTTATCAATTTCTGAAATTTCAAAAATTCAGAATTAGCCATTCGACGAATGTAGAATTAGTAGAAAGAATTCAGAAATAAACATCAAGCTTTCTCTTTCAACTCAAGAATAAAACAATCGTTTACAACAAGAATACAACAAAAATTCAAAATGTGACTTTTTATCAATTCTTGGAATTCAACAATTTAGAGACGCATCTTACTTCTTTCGATTCAAAGAATACAAAAATTCAGAAATTCAAAATATGAGTTCTATTAATTCTTGGAATTGAAAAATTCAACAATTGAGAGACGCATCTTATTTTTCTCAATTCAAAGAATACAAAAATTCAAAATGTGAGTTTTATTAATTTTTGGAATTCAACAATTCAGAGACGCATAGCGGAATTGCAATAATTTCAGCTGCCTTTAGATGAGTGAGTTCCAGAATTCATTTAAAGGATCTTGAAAGTCCTTGGATTACTAAGTACAACGAAGTGGAAGACAGAGTTCTCAAATTCCGCTATAGAACTACAAATTCCTATAGATTATCCGTTACAATTTTTTCCTCCGTATATATGCAGAGATTTTGGAAATTTCTGCTGTACATATGATGTTGGGTAGCCACTCACCCTCATCGTCGCACGCCACCCCATCCCGCATCATAGTTACTAACAGATTTCTCACAAGCAGAGTCCGTATTGGGAACTCAACATGTTGAACTTCTAAGTATTTGATTATCATGAGCCGCTAGAACCAGTATCAGAAACTCCCCGAAATTGTGGGGGTCTCCTACCTATCTTTCCAGTGATCTACACGACTGTGGCAAAACTATATCACTGAATATACCTAAAACTAATATGAAAATACAATATAAGAAAACACGCACGCAATAACGACTATACTTGATTATAACAACTGATAAAATGTTAATAAAACTCACATTTTGAATTTTTGTATTCTTTGAATTGAGAAAAATAAGATGCGTCTCTCAATTGTTGAATTTTTCAATTCCAAGAATTAATAGAACTCATATTTTGAATTTCTGAATTTTTGTATTCTTTGAATCGAAAGAAGTAAGATGCGTCTCTAAATTGTTGAATTCCAAGAATTGATAAAAAGTCACATTTTGAATTTTTGTTGTATTCTTGTTGTAAACGATTGTTTTATTCTTGAGTTGAAAGAGAAAGCTTGATGTTTATTTCTGAATTCTTTCTACTAATTCTACATTCGTCGAATGGCTAATTCTGAATTTTTGAAATTTCAGAAATTGATAAAAACCTCTTGATGCTAATTCTTGAATTCTTTCTGCTAATCTTGAAAATTTTATCAATGTAGAGTTCTATGAATTCCGCTGCCCCTTTATGCGATTAGCATGATGGATCGGGCAAGCCTCGACTTTTGTTGGCCCGGCTTGGTCCAGGTGGGTCATCAGAAATTCACCCGATTAGGAACTCTGCTGTGTATAGTGCAGACATGTGGATGTCGTATACATTCAAGAGAATAATGCACGTTGTCTACACAGCCATTTCTTCTTTTTTAACGTACTGTGAAGATGAAGACCATTTTTACTCGCAGTTTTTGCATGTTTTAACCTGCGTTTTCTTACTGATTTGCCATAAAACAGGATAAAAAATTAAATAATTTGAAACTTTGACTTCGAGGTAAGTATACAGCAATTTGAGACGAAGGGAGAGTTAAATCGTCCTGCGCTTTTTGTCACCAAACTGGAAAATACACCACGGAGCGAACTTAGTCAATCTGAGGGGAAAACTTTTCTCGAATAAGCACATCACAGAGATGGTCCGAGAGATGGTTTATCTCCTTAAATTTTAATAAATGTGAAGCTATAAATTTCTCGTCGCGCTATCACCGTACAAAAATTAAATCCTTACCACCAATTGTTTTAAATAATTTAGTTGCCCTGGAAGAAGATGCAGTAAAGTATTTAGGTTTAGTATTTTCCTATGATTTGACTTGGACTAGTCATATAAATAAAATTTACTCTAAAGCATCTTCTATAGTTGGTTTAATGAAGTTTCACAAGCACAGGTTATGTAAAAATGACCTTGAAATAATTTACAAATCATGTCTATCTGTTCTTAACTATAGTTGCATCGCTTTCTCATTGACTACCTTGGTTAATTACCCTGTAAATAAATCACAGGGTAACGCTCGTCTGCACTTGTTCAGTCCCTTGACTTAAGGAACTTATATCTGCGGCCGACCTTTCATGACTTTTGAATCCAAGACAACGCTCACACCTTCCTTCGATCGGCATTCGCCAGAGGACTATCTAAAATATGTTGTGAATTTTTCTCTGATTTGATGTGTATGGTTCCTAAAATCTAATGTAAATCTAAAACCTTTTCACGAGACCCTCTAGAGAGGAGGACTAGAGATATTTCTAAATTCAAGACAACGCTTAAAACACGTCTGCCAAAATGCATGACCAGGTGTAAAATAATGGCGTTTTAGCCGTTGGAATAATGGCACTTTGCTGACAAATTAATTTGGTTCATAAAAGCAACAAAAGAGAGAAAAAAAATAAATAATAAGATGAATGTTCTTAAAATTCAAAACAAAACAGGTTTTCGCTTCATTGGTTACTTCTACAGATCAATCACTCCCCACCACCACCAGTCTTATCCTGCTCACTGTGATCTCACCGGGGAGGTGATCAATCTGTAGAAGAGCCCTCACTACTTTACTTTTTTGAAGTGACTGTATTTTTTCTCCTTGTACTTAGCCGCTGTCGTTAAAATTTATACCGGATAATTTACCTAGTTAGACTGACGCCTTATTTTTCTTAATCTTTCTTTTTGTTAGTAGAGATTATTTAT